ACCAGGAGGGCTTCAAAGATGGAGGGTGGCTCCTATCAGCAGGCAGCTGAATGAAGAGAACCCTTGCCCTCCTCTGAAGAAAAGCTCTGTTAGAGAACGAGAGAAACAAGTGGACTTCCTCCCCTTTCCACTCTTTACTTGAGTTATCTATGCTCAGAGGAGTAGAGATCCAGATGGCCCAGACTCCCAAGTCTACATCTTAAAAGCTGAGGTTTTTTGGTTCTTCTTCACTTTGTCCTGGGAAACTTTGCTTCTCCTAGGCAAGCTCCTTCCTGTTTGTTTTGTTTTCTAAAATATTTGTTTTTAAAGCCTCGCTTGCTATTCTTAAATACTCTTCAAGTTTCTCTCCCCCCCCCCCCCCCCCCGCCCCGCGTTTAAATGAGACAAGTTTATTTTTCTGGTTTACTAGCTTCTCAGGTTCCCGTTTGGTTCTTCCCTGCAACCCAGATAATTGAGAATTTACCAGCTGGTCTTATCCCACCAAATCTACAGAGCTGGCCTTTCACTTTTGGTTGGCCTTTATTATTATATACTTAGATTCTCTTAACTCCTTGAAGCTCAAAGTTTGTGGTAGGAGCCTTTCTTCTTGACTTGGCAGGCTTCAGGCCTCTACTGAGAGCAGTCTCTACAGTGGGAAGAGATGGCAAATAGAGTGTTGTGAGAAAGGGAGGGTGGCGTGAGAGCCTCTGCACCTTAGGGATATGTATTCAGAGAGCCCTCAGGGGGCTCAGTCTTTGAGGTAAGTGGAATTACAGGGCCCTGCTTTTATTTCCATCCCTTCTATCACACCCCTTTTCCAGTTGCTGTGGACCAATGCATTTCTCTAGAGGCAGATATTATCCAGCAAGCAGTCTACCCTGTCCTTGATAATTGCTCTTCCTCATGTCTTTTTGGCTACAAGTGTTTTAGATGTTACTACCTTATTTTCACTAAGTTCTACTCCTGTCCTTGCAAACAGAAGAAGATAACCGCACGTGGGCTTAAGGCCTAAGGAGGCCAGTCACTCGTGGCAAGAGTTCCCTTCCTTCCTGTCCGTGGCACTGAACCACTCTCCTGCCTCTTTGGAAGAGATTCCTATTATTGCAACACTTGTGTCTGCCCAGGGTGACTTGGCCACTGTCTCTGTCCTACGGAACCTAAGGGAGAAGGTGGCAGCTGTGTCCCTCCCCAAGTAGTGTCACTATTTCTATTCCTTCTCTTAAGCAGCTGGCATGACCACTCTGAGTCACAGGTGTGTGGGGAGGGAGGAGAGGCACTCAAGCTATAACACTAAAGGAGGAAATAACCAAGAGATTCTTCCAGGGGTGGCTGGTGGTTGTGCCTTTTGTAGGCTGTTCCCTTTGCCTTAAACCTGAAGATGTCTCCTCAAGCCTGTGGGCAGCATGCCCAGATTCCCAGACCTTAAGACACTGTGACAGTTGTCTCTGTTGGTTCGCTGTGTTTTGTTGCAAGAATTTCTCCGTGTTGTTGCTGTTTTAAAAGGTACACATTTGTGATCAGTATTGTGACTTGAAGATAATAAAATTTAGACTGTAAACTTGGCTTTTTTGCACGAGTTTTGATTTGAGAGGGAGGGACAATGACTCCTTAATTCCCTAGAGTCAGTCACAACTTGCGCTGGCCTCAGACCTGGGAAATGGAAGCTCACAGAGGCGAGGAGCCCCTGAGAAGCCACAAGGGTGTCTGTATTCCCCACCAACTATGTTTCCTGAGCACATTGCCACATAGACCCCAGGACAACATGCCGTGCCTTAGTTTGGAAGTGTCCGACGAAAACTAGTGAGGTGCTGCTTATCCACGTGAATATCATATCCTTTATGCCTGCCTTTGTCTTTAGCAAGTACATTTCCCAACGTGCTAAATATCAGTACAGCTGTACTAGGTCCCAGCAGAGGGCAAGGCACAGGGAGCTAGTGTTCTTGAAAAGCGAAGACACACTGGCACTGAACTACCAAGAAGCACAGTCTATAAGAAAGAGGCTCATGTCAATCTCAGTACAGACAGAGAGGAGGGGTAATTGAAAGACCTCCAGCTGTGGCTCCTGCTTCCAGTTACCTCTGCCACTGGCCTCTGACGAGTACAGGGCGACTCCTCCCTCTGACCTGACTGGACTCCGGATCCTGGGGGCGGGGGGGGGGGGTGAAGGTCCCCTGCAGAAGCTCCACAGCGTGAGGGGGCTGCGGAGTTTAATGTGAAGCTGGCAGCATCTGTTCTGGAGTCGCACAAATCCTTGCACCCTGGGGGCATGGGCAGTGTGGCACATCCTAAAAGGACAGTTGGGATTGCCCCTCCACTGTCCGGTGGTGCTGCTGCAGCAAGAGGACCGTGACTTTCCTGACCCCCATCTCCAGTTCCTCTTCAAATCATGTCACTTTGCTTCCCTTCCCCACAGTGATGAGTATTTATGGGCCTGATCTGGGGTCACGCAAAGAATGCCAGCCAGCCTAGAGGGTGGGTTACTGGCAGGAGAAAGGAGCGTTTTAAGATGCTTCCCCCTCACCCCTGCCTCTTGCTTCCTCAGTTAGATCCCATTGCTCTCTGTTGCCCTGGTAACAGGCTCAGCAAGAAGAAATTCAAGCTCAGCAAAGCCCCCAGGTTCTCTGCCCTCCCAGCCTGCCTCTCAGTGGGCAGAAAAGAGTGTAAGGGGCAGACAGAATTAGCCTTAGGTAGCCTTGCCCCATCCCCTTCTGGAAGTCCATGGGCCTCTCATCCGCATCTCCTCACAGTTGTCAATTACAGCGCCCTCTTCTCCCTCACTGTCTCCCATGGTAAGAATATAGGTGCCCTGTCAGCCCTCCTCCCCCTTAGGGTCAGCACACAGGTCTGCTACCTTGTGGGTGACTCTAGAACAGCAAAGATTGAGAATACCAATGTCTCCCAGCATCTGCAGGCCACTTGGGTTGGGGTGTCCCTCTGGGGCAGTGATTTTCAACCCTGGCTATTGGAATTACTTGGAGATCTCTTTAAAAAAACCATAAACCTTGGCACCATCTCGGTATTTTTGAGAAGTGCCCCCTGGATTCCACGGTGCAGTTGGGGGCAAGTACCACTGCTGTTTAAGGAGGACCAAGCCTTGATGTTGGCCTGCCTTCCTGAGTCAAGGTCTTGAACTTAGACTCCGCCTGATACCCTTGAGTAGTTGAAGGGTCTTGGGCTCTGCTCCCAAAGCTTCCAGTTTCTAGAAGTCTCTCTGCCCCTTTTATTTTCAGCCCCCACATTCTCCACACTCCCCAATTCTTCCTAACTGACAATCCCAAATCCTGCCCAGAGAGGAGGTTACCAAGGCAACCAGCTTAATCTGGTAACTGTGGCATGTGCTGGGAGTGGAGCCCTCCCCTCTTCTTATTTGGTTCATAAAATGCCTGGGGAGTTCCAAGCCACTCCAGCCAGTTTCCCCTCTTAACCTTGGGGGTATTGGGGTATCTAATAAAGGGAGGCCAGGAAGCTGATACTTGGATCTCTATTACAGCTTCTTAGCCAAAATTGGGCCCTCTATATACTGTTCCCTTTCTAAATCCACAAACAGATGGGTGTGCAAGCTCATTTCTGCAAACACATGCTTTAGCATACATAGGACCAGAGATACACACACACACCGATGTGTGTGTAGCGCACACCCTGTTCAGTTCTACCACCACTCCTAGCCTTTCGCATTCCTGTCCCTGCCTGGTTGGTGTACAGTAAACAGGGGTGCGGCAGTGTCCGAGGTGCCTCAACCCATCTGGAACCTGGTGCCACTCCCCAACCTTGTTACTTTAACCTTAATGTGCTTACACTGAGTGTATCTCTTTATCCACCTCCTTAGGAACGGAATGCTCCTGGCATAGGCATCAGGAATAAGGATAATTGGGAGTGCAAATTTGGCACCGCTTTCCACACTCTCTGGTTGTGTCAACTCTGGGGGGCTCTCTATGTTTGATGATGTCAGATGGCAGCTCTGGAGCTTGTCACCCATCTCCACGGCCTGCTTCTTCCTGCTGCCAGCTGGACTTAGGTGCCCTTGGACTCCTGGTCTCCTCCCCCTTGCCTACTGTCTCTTCTCACCCCAACTAGACCTGCCACAACCTGCTGCTCCCTGCCTGGCTCCTACCTGCCTGCCAGTACCTGCCTTTCACAGGCCAGGCCCCCGCCATCTATTGTGCCCTGCCGGAAAGGGCAGATGAGTGCCACCCCCAGGGGAATGGCGATCCACCTGAGGCCTTTCCAGCCCTTCTTCCAAAAAGACAGGTAAAGACCGCATATTCCTCTAAGAGCGCACTATCGGGGTGGAGAGTGATCTTTGTAGGCCTTACCTGTGGACAGGTAGGTGAGTCAAGGCATGCAGGCCACAGACCTGTCCTGATTCTTTGAAATGGCGCCAGAACCCCTGTAAGCCCCCGAGCCAGGAATTCCTCTCCATTGGTATCTCTCCCTTACCTGGGCCCTTAATTTCTGCGTCTTCTCTGAACTCTCCACCTGATCCCATTCAACCCCTTACAATCCCCTGTGGCCCCATGATTTGCACCGACGCCCGAGTTCAAGCCTTGCGCGGCCCAGGGGGCGGGCCCAGGAAGGGCAGGGGCGGGGACTGGGCGGGGACTGGAGGAGGGGGCGCGGTCTCAGTTCTGCCACCTTCCCCGCGGTCAGGAGAGCCTCCGCCGCTGCCGCCGCGTCCTCTCAGCCTTGCGCTCCGCCCGCTGCCTCTGTCGCCGCAGCCCGGCCCAGGAGAGCAGAGCCCGGGCACTGGCCCCGCAGCCTACCCGTCCTTCGGGCTGCGCGACGGCTGCAGCAGGCATGGGGGGCCGCTAAGGACCGGCACCCCTTCCCTGTGGCACCTCCCCCGGCCCCTGGCCACGGGACTCGGGCCAGCGAGCCTCAGGCACCTCTGGCCCCCAGTCCGGCGCCTGGCACGGCCCTCCACTCTGCCCCTCCGGCTCTGAGCATCGTGTCCCCGCCCCCCCCGCCCGCGCCTGGGACACCTGGGTCCCCCGGTGGCCCCGAGAAGAGGGGCGGGGGGGGGCATGAAGCCGCTGGAAAAATTTCTGAAGAAGCAAACGTCGCAGCTGGCGGGGCGAACGGTGGCGGGAGGTCCCGGCGGGGGTCTGGGGAGCTGCGGCGGGCCCGGAGGGGGTGGGGGACCTGGCGGGGGCGGCGGTCCAGCCGGGGGACCGCGGCCACTGCAGCGGCGTCAGAGCGTGTCTCGCCTGCTGCTCCCAGCTTTCCTTCGGGAGCCCCCCGCTGAGCCGGGGCTGGAGCCGCCCCCCGAAGAGGAAGGTGGAGAGCCCGTGGGGGTCACGGAGGAGCCCGGCAGCGGGGGACCCTGTTGGCTGCAGTTAGAGGAGGTGCCGGGGCCCGGGCCGCTCGGGGGCGGGGGGCCCTTGCGCTCCCCTTCTTCGCACTCCTCGGATGAGCTGTCCCCGGGCGAGCCCCTGACTTCCCCACCCTGGGCCCCCCTGGGCGCCCCCGAGCGGCCGGAGCATCTTCTGAACCGGGTTCTGCAGCGGCTGGCCGGGGGGGCCACCAGGGACAGCGCCGCCTCAGGTAAGGAGCCGGCTAGCTCATCCATCCCGGAGTAGGGGGTTGCCACCTGGTAGCTCTTCCTTGCCCTTGGAGCGTGGGGGTGGCACTATGATGCTGGAGCCTCGGTGCGGGGTTGAGTGGTCAGCTGAAGTGGGGCAGTGGCTCATCAGAGGAACAGACCCTCTGCCGAAGGGACGTGGCAGTGCCACCTTGCTCCCTTTAGCAGCCTCACCCACAGCTGAACCTCTGTCTCTCCTTAAGCCACCCTTCATTTCCCCTGGACATTTCATCCATAGACTCTTGGGAGATGTTGATTATCTCCTTCTCGGTCCCAAAATTAGGGCCTGACACACTAAGATGGAAGCTGCCCGGAGCAGCCTATGCCCTCCTCCCCACACTGAGGTGCCTAAGCCTGAAGGACCTTCCAGGAGCCCCCAATTCCTTTTAGAAACCCAGGGCAGACGGCTGGCCCACTCGTGGGGCAGTGCCACACAGGCACAGGGCCCGGGCTGGCTTTTGGGCGCCAGCAAAGGAATTCATTGTCCTTAGCAGCTTGGGGGGTGGAGGAAGGAGGTGCTCTAGTTGGGGGCTGACTCAGAGGTGTTGTTCAGGGAGAGGTGGCCAGGCAGTCATCAGCGTCTAGGGGGGTCTGAGCCTTTCCAACTCCTATCCTTCCCCTGGCAAGCCTCAGCACATGGCCTCTTTCAAAAATAATAACCACACCCTGAGAGGCTTATTCCCTAAATGATGATGCTATTTCACCACTCCCCACCAGCACCCCTACGAGGGGACTTTGAGGAAACTGAGGCCCCAAATTGCTGGTTAGTTGCCAAGGTAGAAGACCTGCGGGCCCTTGGGTCCAGCTCTCGTCATTTCACTAAGCCCAGCAGGGTCTGGGGGCTGGGAGCCCCTGGTTGAGAATTTCAAGATAGGGGTTTGCTACTGTGCTCTCAGACCTCTGCATGGAGGCCTAGCCTAGGTGTGTGGAAGAGGGTTCCACGCCCCTAGATTTTTCTCAAGACCCAGGTCCTCTCATGTGGCTCAGGCTGCAGGTGCCCTAGGGAGCTGACACCTTTCAGATTTAATTAGAAAAATATCAGATACACACAGCTCCCCTAACCATAACTTCCCGCCTACACCACACACCCTGTGTCTCTATGACACATTCCCTGGGGAGGCTGTGCATTGGACCAGAGCCTGTCTTGGAAGAGGCAGACGCCAAACTGTTGCCCCCACAACAACATCTCCCCAACTCTCCCCTGCGCTCGCCTTCCTTTCCTCTGGTTTAGTTCGCCTGCGGGATAGAGTATGGGAAGGGTGCTGGGCGTCTCTAGTCCTAGTCCCTCATCCCTGGAGCCGGACATCAGGGCGGGAGGTGGGGGTTGGCTGTCAGACTCACTTTAAGAACACAAGAGGGTAGTTGGGCAGAGAGGTAAAGGGAGAAACTTTTTCTTTTTTTTTTTTTTTGGTGCCTGGTGCCACAGACTCTGCTCAGTCTTTCCTGGGGAAGGACTCCTGAATTGGTTGTCACCTGTACTATCTAGCCTAGCAGGCTGGATTCCCAGAGTAACTGGTTTGGGGAACACTAAACCAGTCTGAGAGTGAATGAGAATCAGCTTAACCTGTCACTCTGATACCGTCTAATACAACCCAGGTTCTTAAGCCATTTTGGTTCCCTCCCAAAGGGTGCGTGGGAGGAAGCGACTTACAGAAGGTCCCCTAAACTAGCCATTCTCTCAATAGTCTAAGCAGCCCCATTTTACCGCTGGTTCTCCCAGACACTCTGTTTGCCTCAGGCATATTGAGAAAAGAACAAAGGCTCAGGAGTGTGGGTTCTTTGCCCAGCCCCAGGGAAGTCTCTACAGCCCTAGGCCTCGGTAATTCTTCTCACTTGTGAAATGAGAGTTGACTTGGAGGATCTCACGTTGGTTCTCCTTTTCCACCTTCGTGGCAAGAATTGGAGGCCACGGGATGGTGAGCCAAGGGCCCACAGAGGCCTTGGTTTTGTCCTGGGGCAGTGCCTAGGGACCTGGCCCTAACCTGTCCTGGTGAGGACACCTGGCTCCCTCCCTGCACCCGGCCTGTCTGTGTGTGCCAGGCTGCCCTGCCCTACCCCAGAGCTGGATGCAAGTCAGGGCGACCTCGTACCTGGCTAACTGGCTGAGCCAGGCCCAGGTGGAGGTGCGGAGGGAAAGGGGTGGTGGGAGGAGCCACTCCTCTCCACCCTTCCATCATTAACCCTACCATCTCTAGGCATCCAGAGGACACAGGGTTTCTCTTAAAAGGCTTTAGGATCAAAGAGATGGCAGTTACTCCATCTCCCTTTTAATGGGGCTGGTTCTCACCTGCCTAGTTGGAACTCAAAGCTGTTAGGTAGGGATTGGGGAAGGGAGGAGGGACACACACAGCCTGCTGACCGTGACCTCTGTGTTTGGAAGTTGTGTCTGCCTAGAGACCCTTCTGTGGGCTACATGTATTGGGGTGGGGGGCAGATCTCAAGCTGGGTGTATTATCTGAACAGCTTCCCACGCACACTGAAGAGAAGTGGGCGTGGCCATTGAAGAGTGCCCCTTCCTTCCCTCCAGCTGCCTTGGCAGCTGCCAATCCCGCCCCCGCAGCGGCTGCCCAGAACCTTCACACATGTGTGCGTGCAGAGCATGACGGGGCAGGTGGCTGGGGCTCCAGTCTGGCTAACGAGCAGTCGCTCTTGGAGGCAAGAGAATGGGGCGGGGAGCTCCCGCTTGGGTCCTGGAAGTGCCATCCTGACATCAGTGGCGCCGATTGATCTCTACAGATATCCTGCTGGATGACATCGTTCTCACCCATTCACTCTTCCTCCCCACGGAGAAATTTCTGCAGGAGCTACATCAGTAATATCCTTTTGTGGAGCTTGCAAAAGGGGAGGTCGGCAGAGGGCGGGGCCGGGGGGGAGCCACGCCCAGCACCCCACACGTGATGTCAGGACCTAAGCTCTGCCTTTTAAAACACACTTGGGTTTCAGCCCCAGTGTTTCTCCTCAGGAGCTGTGTGTCCTTGAGCACATCCCCTGACCTCCCAGGGCCTCTGTTTCCTCTTCTATAAAATGGGGGTAAATAGCACCTGCTCTGCCTACCTACGGGGCTGCTGTGGAGATAGACCCGATCGCAGATGTGGGAGTGCTTTGGAGATTGCAAAGCCCTGTTCAAATGTAAGGTGTTATTATTCTATTAAGAGTGCCTCTCTCCCCACTGAATTGCTGCTCTAAACATCTGGTTGCCCAGTGCGTTATTACAGGGTCTGATGTAAACATCAGGTCATGGCTGTGCTTCCATAGGGTCTACTAGAGACAAGCCTCTGGCTAGGCTATTCATAGGGTCTCATGTAAGCATAGGGCCTCTTACTGAGCTATTTTAGGACCTAATTGCAAATGTCAGGCCACTGAGTAGAATATCACAGGCCTTACACTGAGGTATGGTCAGGTTTGTGGCGAGCACCATTGGCCTTTATCAGCCTGCTCTGAGCCCCAGGCATGGGCTGGTGGGGGGTGGGTGGGTCCAGACAGAATATCTTCCAGTGAAATTCAGAGGTGGGAGCTGGATGTGGTCAAGTGGGCGTCATACTACCTTCTCTGAGCTGGGGCAGGAGGGGGTCTTGGTTCCAGGGACCCCAGGATCTCCTTTCTCCCTGGCCCCAAGCCCAGAGACTATTTGGGGATGTTTTAGCCTCCCGCCTCCCTGCCCAGTTTCCTCCGGTCTGCCTGCCCAGCGCTTTTTTCCTTAACTTAGGGGTCAGCTTTGTTTGGGCAGGAGGCAAGGATGGCCCCGAGGGGCTGGGCCAGAAGCAGGCCTGTCTAGCCATGCTCCTTCATTTCTTGGACACCTACCAGGGGCTGCTGCAGGAGGAAGAGGGAGCCGGCCGCATCATCAAGGTGGGCCTGGGAAGAAAAGGCGGGTGAGGAGGCTCTGAGTTCTGGAAGGAGGCCCCCTTGAAGGAGTTATACTTGTCACGCTGGGTACTAGAAGGGAAAGATGCTAGAGGGTCTTCACTTTTATGGTTCTCCTACACTCGAAGGCATGAAGACCCTTCCCTGCCCCAGCCCTTACAGAGAGTGATAACTTGCGATGAGATCCCTGCCCTCACCTCTCTCCTCCTTTCCATAGGACCTGTACCTGCTGATTATGAAGGATGAATCCCTTTACCAGGACCTCAGGGAGGACACGCTGAGGCTGCACCAGCTTGTGGAAACAGTGGAGCTAAAGTGAGGGGAATGAGTTGGGGAGGGGACAGGAGAGAAGTCCCCTATGCCCCTCTCCTCAGGGATTGCCTCTGGCCTTTTGGCTCCCATATGGGCTCATTTCAGTCCCTTTCTCTTGCTGGATAGGAGCACAAAGCATTGTCTCCAGTCACTTTTTTGTTCATTCCAGTGGCGTCCTGGAAAATATTTAACAACCAGCATTTCAGGGGGGAAAAAATGCCCTGATTTGTGGTTTTTGCTGATTTCCATGGTATGAATTTTCTCACCAAAGCTGATTTCAATCTACTAACGTGATGTCACTGAATGTGAAGTTGAGAAGAGATGTAAATAGCCTGAAGAGCAGAGATAATAGTGAAACATAGTAAAACAATTAGGAGACTATGTTTTTTGGTAATAATTTGAATGTAAGATTAGCACACACACACTTTTTTTAAAAAACCATCTGTGCAGTGGATTGTTTAATGTCCATGTGTCTTTTCTCTTTAATTGATTTTTAGAGAGAGAGAGAGAGAGGAAGGAGGAGAGAGACACATCGCTTTGTTGTCCCACTCACCGATGCATTCATCAGTTGACTCTTGCATGTACCCTGACCGGGGATCAAACCCGGAACCTTGGCATATGGGGACGATGCTCTAAAAAAATAAGCTGTCTGGCCAGGGCCTCACGCATACTTTTTAAAGAGTTTTCCTTACAAAGCCGTTGGGAAAATTTAGCGATCTGCTTTCATGAGCTAATGTGAACTGGCTTCAGGATACCACTGCATCCATCATCCATCCTTCCATCCATCCATCCGTCTGTCCATCTATCCATCCATACCTTTGGCCTTTTCAGTTTGTCCCCCCTCCCTCCCCACCACCACAACCGTTGTTTAGGCCTCCTTTTCTCTCACCTGAATTATTGCCACAGCCTCCAATCTAGGGCTTCAGCTTATGGTCTTGTGTCTGTCTTCCCCTTCTTATGTTGACACCAGAGAGATCTTTCCAACTTGACATCATGCTCCTGTTCCAAAAGCATCATGGCTCCCCATTGCCTATAAGACAAGGTCACAACATTCTAGTGCAGTAATTCTACATCCTTCCCTTCCTGCTAATCTTTCCCATCTCAATTCCCACATAGCCCTATAACCACAACACACCCGATACACCCTATTCCCTGAACTTCTGTGCTTTTTCTGCTTCCTGCTGTCGTTTACATTACCTCCTCCCATCCCCTTCCCTTGCTGTTGTCCTTCCAGGGTCAGGTCACATGCCATCTTCTCGATGAACTTCCTTTTTAAGAATAGCTTTCTTCTTCCCCCATACCAACATAACTCTCTGTTCACCTTTTTTACATCACCTAACACCTGTCTCGTGTTAGAAGTAGCTGTATGCATGTCTGTCTCCCTCCCAGACTGTGAAGTTCTTTTTGGCAAAATTCAGCAGGCAGCTGATGACCTACACCTCCCATGCGCCAAGCAATGTGCTGGGCCTGGAGGATGAAAAATAATTCAGTAAGAACCAATCCTAGCCCCGCCCCCCCGCCGCCACTGCAAACGAAAAACAAGAACTAATGCAGCAAGCTCTCAGTCTTGCAGGAGAGAGAAAACATGAACATAAACAAATATTAGACCATTGTCCTTATTCGCCGCCCCCCCCCCACCTGCCAAAATTGACCTTTTCTGGTAGGTGGGGTGGATCAGACAAGAATTCATGGAAAAGGTGGCATTTGATTTGGGTCACTTGGACAGTTGTCTCCTGCTGGTCATTGTCCTCACTTTAAACCCCCTCCACTGCTCTCTGAACCTGATGCCAGGGCATCCTTGACCCAGTTCTGATATCCCTGCTTGATGTTGCCTGCCTGGTGCTCTGCATGCCTGGCAGGGCTTCCTGATGCCCAGCTGTGTCCATGCCAGGATCCCAGAGGAGAGCCAGCCACCCAACAAGCAGGTGAAGCCACTCTTCCGCCACTTCCGTCGGATAGACTCCTGTCTGCAGACCCGAGTGGCCTTCCGGGGCTCTGATGAGAGTGAGTGTGGGCATTAGGAGGGGCAGGGCTCCTGAGCGGCTCAGGGGGCCCTGTGGGGTCTTGGGTCTTGGGCAACTTTGATGGAGCCTCCCTGTGGAGTAGAACCAGTGCTTTTCACAGCATCGTTTTCAGAGGCCAACCAATCTAGGGTTAGGGGTGGGATGGAGTGGGGAACGCAGGGGTCCTGGAGGGCACTGTGACAGTGCTGTCATTCTGCCCTCTGATGCAAGCCACCTTCCTGTCTCTGTCCAGTCTTCTGCCGGGTCTACATGCCGGACCACTCTTACGTGACCATACGCAGCCGCCTTTCAGCGTCTGTGCAGGACATTCTGGGCTCTGTGACGGAAAAACTGCAGTACTCCGAGGAGCCTGCGGGGCGTGAGGACTCCCTCATCCTGGTAGCTGTGGCCTCTTCAGGAGGTGAGGGGCAGAAAGAGCTCAGCTGGGGCCCCAGGACAGGAAACTCACAAGCCCAGTGCTGCGGGGCAGGGTAAAGGCTGACTTCTGTGCCCTGGACACTCAAACGGTGGCACTGGGACCAGCCGCATGAGCTTTGCCTGGGTATTATTTCAGACCCCACTGCAGACCGACTGAATCGGGATGTGCATTTTAACAAGATCCCCAGGCTATTAGTCTATGTACATTAAAACTCGGGATGTGCTGGTCCAGTACAGTTGGATGCTGATCTGAGTGCCTGCCGTACTCACTTTGGCATCTAGTCCTTTGATCTCTTTGAGTACCTAAAGGCACTGTGTTTTTGAGGCTAAAGACACAAGTTAGGCCTCCAGTCCCTGAGGGAAGGCAAGAAGCCTGCAGGGTAGCCATAGCCTATTTCTCTCTAAGGCAGGAAAAAAATTCCTGCTTTTTCAGTGTCACAGGAATGAAGGAACAAGAGAAGAGCCGTGAAAGAACACTGGCAGCAAACAAAGAGGTTATAAACGCAACAGAAGTCGTTATTTGAAAATTTTCATGAAAGTAGAGCCTAAACTGGTCGTCACACGAGTCCCAATAGTCTAGAACGTGTCCATGCAGGCCCAGGCATTTCTGGATGGGACGGCGACAGTGGCGGGGACGTGGGAGGGTGCAGGTGGCGGGGGCTGAGGCAGACCAGCACCTTTTTCCACAGAGAAGGTCCTTCTGCAGCCAACTGAAGACTGTGTCTTCACCACGCTGGGCATCAACAGCCACCTGTTTGCCTGCACCCGGGACAGCTTCGAGGCCCTGGTAAGAAAGCCTTCGCAAAGGCCTAGGCGGGGCGTGAGGGCTGCGAGGGCCTATGAGCAGACGCTCACAAGCCCAGCGGGAGCCCAGCCCTGTACCCTTGCCTACCACCAGGTGCCCCTCCCCGAGGAAATCCAGGTCTCCCCTGGGGACACAGAGATCCACCGAGTGGAGCCTGAGGATGTGGCCAACCACCTTACCGCCTTCCACTGGGAACTATTCCGCTGTGTGCACGAGGTGGGGACTGAGGCTGGTGCCAGGCTAGGGGCCAGGAGGGAGAAATGTGCCACGTGTGGGGGCCTGGAGGGGGGCGGTTTCTGCAGCTGAAGTCCCTGGTTAGAACACGCACTTGAACATTTGCTGGGGCAATGCACCAGCAAACCTCTCTAAGCCTTTGTCCCCTTCCTCTGAGAAAACAGCAGAGAGAGAGACCCCCCTAGCAGGGTGGTTCAGGGCCCAAGTGCTGCTTACGCAGACCCTGAACCATGGTTAGTATTTTTAAAATATTCACTGTTAAAGAAATAAAATATGGCAGTGACAGTAATGTCTACAGATGGGTTAAGTGCCTGGCACCTTGTAAGTGCTCAATAAATCATAGTGCATTTATTACTCATGGTGGTGGTTCTCCCCACCATCTCTGCTGCATCCTGTCCTGTCTCCTTCTTTTCTATTTTCTACCCCTCCCGCCCCCACCCTCCTGCCTTTCCCTCACCACCGCCTCGCGCTGCCATCTTCCCACCGGCACCGCCCGCGCCCTGGCCGCCCCTCCGCCGTCGCCGTCGCCGCGGGTGCAGCTGGAGTTCGTGGACTACGTGTTCCACGGGGAACGCGGCCGCCGGGAGACGGCCAACCTGGAGCTGCTCCTGCAGCGCTGCAGCGAGGTCACCCACTGGGTGGCCACGGAGGTGCTGCTCTGCGAGGCTCCTGGCAAGCGCGTGCAGCTGCTCAAGAAGTTCATCAAGATCGCGGCCATGTGAGTGCAGCCGGCGCGGGCGCGGGCGCGGGCGCGGGAGCCCTGAGGCGGGTGGGGGGCGCGGCGGTGCCATGGCCTCCTGACCGTTCTCTGACCCCCGCTCCCAATTCTGCAGCTGCAAGCAAAACCAGGACCTGCTGACCTTCTACGCCGTGGTCATGGGGCTGGACAACGCCGCGGTCAGCCGCCTGCGGCTCACCTGGGAGGTAGTGCGGCCCCTTTCCTTTCCTCTCCTGCCCCCTGGGCTGGCCCACCTGGGGTCTCCGCCTCCAGCCTCAGTCTTGATAGCCTGGGCTCACCCCAGTTGCAAGGAGGCGCTCATGCAGTCCCAGGACAGGCAGCTCTGGCCAATGGACCCTGCTCTTGGGCAGATGAGTGACAAGGCGGACTCTGGCCTGAGCGGGAGGGCCGGTAGCCCCGGCTGCCCGATTTCGGCCAGCACTCAGTGAGGTATCCTGGTGCATGGCAGAGGCTCAGTTTCCCCAGAATAATTACATTCTCTGGGCTGCTTCTAGCTCCCCAGATCCAGGCCAAGGGGCACTCTACTTCCCCAACCCCCTGCTTCCCAGCCCCTGTAAGACATCCTGGCTCTCTTCCCCTCTAACACCTGGGGATTAGCCAGACGCTCCCGTGAAACTCAAGGAGCTCCACTCTGACATTCCTCCTTCCTTCAAACTCTCTGCAGAAGCTGCCAGGGAAATTCAAGAACTTGTTCCGCAAATTTGAGAACCTGACAGTGAGTGGGTTTGGCTCTTTTATCTGCCCCTGGACTTGTACACCAGAGACACTTGGTCCCATGAACCTTCTTCCTCAAGCTTCCCTTGCAAGGTGTTTAGTGCCTAGGAGCACCGTCCTCTCCACACCACGCTGGGGGGTCGCTACCCAGTTTTCCTGGGAGGTGGGGGAGGACAGTCAGGGTCTTCCCCAGCAATGCCCCCCCGCCCCCGAGTTAGACACCCTTCACACCCCTATCTCATTGCAGACGTAGCTAGGGCAGGGGGATGAGGGAGGGGATGGGGGATGTCTTTGGGGTACCCTGGGCCCACCTGCCCCTTTACCCGTCTTCTGTGGAATGCCAGGACCCCTGTAGGAACCACAAAAGCTACCGAGAAGTGATCTCCAAGATGAAACCTCCTGTGATTCCTTTTGTGCCTCTGATCCTCAAAGGTGAGAGTTGTTCCCAAATTATGCTCCTCTGTCCACAGTCTTCATGCCTCAGTCCTGACTCTCGGTCCTCACCCACCTCAGCCCTGAGTGTCCAGAGGAGAGGAGCCCCCACGATTGAGTGGATTCCCGGGGAGGGGAAGGGCTCTCTGGACCTCCTCTCTTACTCTCTCGCTTCTCTCCCCGCCCCCAGACCTGACTTTCCTGCACGAGGGGAGTAAGACCCTTGTGGATGGCTTGGTGAATATTGAGAAACTGGTGAGTGGCACCGCCAGCGCCAGTCCCATGGGTCGCGGGATGGTGTCCTCCCCCTCTCCTGGCACCCCCTCCAAAGACGGCAGCCTTTCCCGGTGGTGCCCAGCTTGCCTGACAGACTCCTGACTAGCTCCCTGGTGGCATTGCTGTAGCAACCCGCCCACGGGTGGCCAAGCTGTCAGGCAGCTCGGGGCGGGGGGGGGGAACTCTGCCTCCCCCTCATCTGGTGCCCTGTCACACCCACTTCTCTGGCGCTTTGGAGACCCTCCAGAGTGGGGACTGGGGGGAGTAAAACCAACAGAATTGGAGGTTGGAGGAAGGGGAGCCAAGGGGGGGAGCATCTTTCTGTGCCCTTTTCGGGGCTCATTCCTTGTCATCTCCCAGCATTCAGTGGCTGAAAAAGTGAGGACAGTCCGAAAATACCGGAGCCGGCCCCTTTGTGAGTGCCCAGGATTCTGAGAGCCTTACGGGGAGAGTTTTTACTGAGCGGGAGGGTTCTGGGGCGACATCCCTGCTCAAATGTTTATGTCCCTTAAGCTTGTCAGTTTTCCCTTCTCTCCTCGGCCTCCCCAGGGGCCCTGGTGCTCAGCACCTTTCCCAGTCTGCGCCCTTGTCCTCCGGCTAGCGTGAGTGTAGAGGAAGAAGAGAGGCTGGCCGTCTAATTGCCCCCCCCGCCCTTACTCCCCAGGCCTGGATATGGAGGCCTCCCCCCATCACCTGCAGACCAAGGCCTACGTGCGCCAGTTCCAGGTCATCGACAACCAGAACCTCCTCTTCGAGCTCTCCTACAAGCTGGAGGCTAATAGCCAGTGAGAACAGAGATTGTAGTCGGCCTCCAGCAGGGTCCTTGGGCACCTGACACTCAAGCACTTTGCACGATGTCCCATCCACCTCCCACTTCTTTCCGCTGGAGCCACTTTCCATTCCACGGGAAAGACCTGGATGGACTTACCCGTGGACCCAGGCACCTGTTCACCCTGCTGAAGTCCTCTCCCCTTTGCTCCTTCCAGCAAAAACCACACTCTGCTGGCCCCTGTCCTTGCAGGGAAAGGGGGCAGAGAGCGCCTTCCTCTGTTGCCTCCCAGTGAGGTCTGTTCTTGATATAGAATTGCCAGCCTCCTCTTCCCAAGCAGGAAGGAAAGCTGCCCACCCTTCTGTCTAGTCTTGCAGAACTGAATTGGGGGAGAGGCTGGCAACCTTCCTCTCCACCACCTGTCCCTTTTCATGTCTCCCTGGTCAGGGCTGGGACCCCTGGATGTCACCCCCCCAATATTATATTGCCCTTGTGTGTGCGTGTGCGTATGCGTGCGTGTGCCCCCCCCTTAGCAGCAGGAGTTCATCTGGTAATTGAGGAGGGTGTTGTGTGTGCTGGGGGGAGGGGAGGAGGTCCTTCTGTTTGGTGCTACCCTTGTCTACTCTGCCCCTGGGTTGGTGCAGCGTGGGTACTTTCCCCACCCCCACCACTCCCTGCTCAGTTACTCCTGCTGCCCTGCACCCCAGGCTTGTGGGCGAAGCTGCTCTTGAGGACAGGGAGCAGCAGCAGGTGGGAGGGGTTACCCACCACCCCTTGCGGGTCCCCCAGGCAGGCCTCCCGAAGGTCCCTGGGTGGGCTTCAATGAGAGGGTAAAAGATGCTCAGGGAAACACAGGCCTAAGCTGCCTACAGGACACTCCCTCTGTGTTACAGGGGGTGGGGCATGGCGGTATCAGGAGTTAGGGGGGCCTGCTGCCCACACTCCTGCTTCTAGGGTGTCTCATTGCTAAGAAGGGAGTTGTCGTTCCCCTTCTGGCTCTGTGTCTGACGCCAAGAACGTGATCTGTCCTTTTCCCTGTCTTGACTCCCCCTTGGTCCTCCCCATCAGAGCTGGGGCGAGGTAGACCCCTGTACCTGGGGGAAGGCAGACCCCCAACGTAGGGGGAGGGAGCGGCGGAGACTGTGAAGGCAGACGACGTTTGCGATGCCTGTATCGCCTCTCTGTCTCTCCTCCCTCTCCCATGAGGGGCCTCCGGGGCTGAGGGGTGCAGGGGCTCCCAGCAGCTACCGGGTGAGGTTTCCTGGCACATCCTCACCCTCCTTTTTGGCACCTCCTCTTTTCCCTTCTGAAGAGGCAGCAGCAGCAGCAGCAGCAGCAGCAGCATCAAGAGCAAAAGCAGCTGCTGTTCCTGCTCTGAGGGTGTATATATTTTTTACCAAAAGCTCTGGAATTGTACATTTATTTTTTAAAACTCAAAGAGGGAAAGAGCCTTGTATCATATGTAAACATTGTATCATAGGTTCTGTTGTACAGCCCCTTTTATACAGTGGCCTGTCTTGTCCCTGCCGCCAAAAATGTCTATGGGCTCCCCACCGCCATCCCCGCGGACTCAGTCACTGTGTCCCACCCTGTGCATCCGTTACAGACAGTGACCAAGACCCTCTTCTTGCTCCCCGCCTCCTCCCTGCAACTGCGGATGTGCCCTCTTCCCCCTGCAGCCGCCCTTCCTCCCGACCCTCTCAGCAGCCTTCTCACCCCAGCTCCCCCAGCTCCCCGCGCGGGGCCCACTGGGCCGGCCTCCCCTGGCCTTGACACCTGGCCTGCTGCTTCCCCGGGGCCTCCGGGCCTCTCCCCGTGCCCACAGCTTTAACAGAGTGAACCATGTGTACTGTACAGGCTCAGTTGGCTTCGCAGACACTGCTGGGTGGAAAAAAAGCCAATAAAGTCTATGAATCAACCCTCCTGCTGTTCTCCATTCTGTTTCTTTGAGGCTGGGGAATGGCTGAGGGAGGGGAGAGGGGACCGCTTCAGTGTGTTGGGCTCCCCAGTAAGATGGTTCTGGGGTGACTTTGAAACTGCAGATGGTAGGAAAAGGTGCCAACCTCACAAGATGTGTCACACTGTGCCCAGAAGAGTGAGTGTTTTAGTTCTTCCATGTTCCCGGTGCCATGGATATGTGATCTTGTTTAATTCTAATGCAATAAGGAGGAAGATGGAGTCTGGGCAGTCCTAACCTAAGGTCCAAGTCACGGGGCGAGTGAGGGGGCAGCTCTGGGTCTCTCACCCAGGCCTGTGCGCTGCAGACAGCAGGCCCATCCACGCAGCCAACTTACCAGTCATAGCAAGGCGTGGGGCATCAAGAACCTAAGCTCCAGGAGACAACGTATACACAGTTGCACAGGAGCCCTTGACTTTCCCTTGTCCTGTATCTGTTACTTTCTCAATCTTCCACGCATCAGAAAAGGCTCTCCTTACTCACCCAGGTTTTCCAGGCAAGAAAGAATATAGTACTCACCCTTAACGGCCCTTTCTCTCATCCCTCACTCATCGGCCAGTCCGGTTGGCTGCAATTCTGGAATATATCCTGGATTGGTCCGCTATTACCATGGCTGTGAATCCTCTGTTACCACCTACTCCAACCCACTGTCATGGCTCCCCTGGACGACGACACTGGCCTTCTATCTGGGCTCCCAGCTTCCTCTCTCCAACACACCCCAACCCCCCCAGTTAGTTCTCCACACTGTAGCCAGGGTACTCTTTTATAAACCTAGATCAGATCATGTATGGCTAAAATTTAAGAGAGGCAATGCCAAGTTTTGGTGAGGATGTGGAGCAGCCAGAACTTTTATATACTGTTGTTGGAGTGTAAGGTGGTATGACTTCAGAAAACTGTCTGACCTAGCATTTCCTCTCCTAGGTGTATGTCCAAGAGAAAGAGTGCGCTTCCGTCCAGCAGGAGACACGTGCACCGATGATCATGGCAGTTTTATGCATGGAAAATAAATTAGAAAAAAAAACCCCATGTGTCCTTCAACAACTGAATGGACAAATCGGTTGTTGTTTAGTCTTACAATGGAATGCTACATAGCAATAAGAAGGAATAAACAACTACTACCTGCAGAAATGAATCTTATAGACATAATATTGAGCAGAAGAAGCCAGACACATAAGACTAAATACTGTAGCATTCCACTTAAGGGAAGTTCACGATCAGGCAAAATTAATCCGTGGGAATAGGAGTAAAAATAGTGGTTACTCAATGGAGTGGGAGAGAGTATTGGCTGGGAAGGGGCATGGAGAAGCCCTATGTGGTGATAGAAATGTTCTATATTTTGATCTGGGGGTGGTACATGTGTGTGTTCATTGAGTTGTTCATGTAAGATTTATACAGTTCACTGTAGTTATTTTATACTTCAACTAAAACAGTTTGGATCATAACGCTCCCTTTTCTGATAACGCTTAGGTTAAAAATCAAAGTCCTCCCTCTCCAAGCCCATCTCCTACCCCCTCTTCCCTCATTCACGCCAGTGCAGCGTGGATGAACAGAAAAAACTGACTGTTTTACTGCTCCTAAAACACATAACACTTATTCTCGTCTCAGGTATTTGACCTTTGCTCTTCCCTGAGACTTTCCTGACCACGCCGATGCCACCCCACCTCAGCCCTTACTCTCTATCCCCTTATCCTTCTGTATTTTCTTCAAGGCACTTATCACTACCTGATATCATATATACCTTGTGTGTTTGCTTCGTGGTTACTCCACTGCCACAATGTTAGCTCCATGAGTCTGTCTGGTTTACCATTCAGTACCCAGAACGGTACTTGGCAGGGAGAAGACACTCAATACATATTTGCTGAATGAATAAATTAGGTTGGTTGCAATAGGAGCTGTAAGAGTGGCACAAGACACAAGATGATAAGTGCTCTGGGAATTAAGCCAAGGAGGTTCACCGCTGGTCTGGGGATGGTGGTGGGGCACAATAAGAAAACACTTTCTGGAAGAGAAGACCTCGTTCTTGAAGCAGCATAGGGTTTGATGGCCAAAATGTGGAAGTAGGAGGTCAGGAGGGCAGAGAGAATGGTATGGGCTATTCCCCTCCCCGCCATCCCAGCTGGCATCAGACCCATCACATCTTTCAGGGGTGATGATAAAAGTTGACATTTGGAAGAATGTCCTGTGCCATTCACTATGCTGGGCATTATGTGCATTGTCTCATTTAATCTCAACAAACTCAGGAGGTTGGTGGCTCTATTAGTTCTGTTTTCCAGACGAGAACTGAGGTCTGGAGAGATTTCTCATCAGACGGACAGAGAGGTCAAGTCGCCAGCCCTGAGCCTCACAGCTGGCAGGAATTTGAACCCGATTATTCTGACTCCAGAGCCACAGTTTAAGCTCTGCGCAAGCCCAGGATCTTGAATAGCTGAGAGATGCCCGCCTTGTGCTCACTAGGCTCTAGTGGCCACCTGACCATAGCTGAGGGGACTATCCTTTCTCCTTTCCCTCCACTCTACCTGTGTTCTGCTTCCTTGTGGGGAGAGTGGCCAAGAGACTCGACAGGTGGTCCAAGGGTTCTGTGGGATGAATGGGGAGAAAAATGAGATTATGAAGTAGCATTGCACCTCCTAGGCTGTCCTAGGAATGGTGACAATAATTTGGGGAGGTCAGAAGACCAAGGTAATAAGATGCCTGCCTCCTTGATTATGTTATGTAAAGAGTGAAGAATTTGAGCAATGCCCTTTTCATCCACCAGGTGTCGCTACCAAGATTACTTTTTCACCATGCTGGGGAACAGGGAAGATGTGTGGGACAAGGAGAGTGGGTTAGATAGAGCATTTCTTGGGGGTCTCCTGAATCTGTTCGAAAGCGTCTGTCCTCAAATATGAATAAGAAGTTCGACCAGAATAATTTGTATTTTTTATTCTCTCCATCTCTACTGGCTCTTTCCCATATAGCATTTAAACCTTCTCAAGTCTCTATTTTTAAAAACATGTTCCTCGACCCCACATGCCTGCTCTAGCTACTGTCCCCTCTCTCACTTTAGTTCATGGCCAAACTTCTTCAAAGGGTTGGCTCCACTTAACTCTCTCCACTTCCTCATCTCCCATTCATTCCTTTTTTTTATTTTGTCTCATTTCCCCAACTTTTCATCATGAAATAGTTCAAACATAGAAATGTTGAAAGATTAGTACAATTAATACTCTTAGACCTTTCTAGATTCTATAATTAACATTTGCTAATTTGTTTTTGTCCTCTGTGTGTTTCTCTCTCTTTCTACTCATACACACACACACTTTTTCTTTTGCCAAGCTATTTGAAAGTAAGTTGCCTCAGCAAGAATCTCCTAAGACCCCTGCATTCGAAAGTGATCGTGGGCTGCCGTGCCCTGGTCATCGATAGCGCAGGGAGAGGAACTGCTGAAAGCACTTCCCCGTGTTTGGAGGGTCCGCCCGGTCCCTTGCAAACCCTGGAGCTTTCACATATGTCTTAAAAAAAAAAATCTC